TTTCCCCCCTGTTCTTCTCCTGAGCACAGATCCTCATGATCCGGTACCCGAGCAGTCAGCTGGGGGAGATGTCCCTGGAAGAACACAGCCAGTGTGAATGCAGGTGCCAGCCAGGCCCAAATTCTGAGCTTACAGAGGCCAGGCTGGGGGGGTGCTGGGTATGGTGGTCCACAGAACTGGGGACCAGGTTCCTAAGAGTAGAGCCAAGGGTAGGCCTTGGATCTGGGGCAACAAAGTAGGATGCTTGGGTCAGTGGCTCACACCTATAATCCCAGCACTTTGGGAGGCCCAGGTGGGCAGATCATCTGAGGTAAGGAGTTCAAGACCAGCCTGGCCAAGATGGTGAAACCCCGTCTCTACTAAAAAAAAAAAAAAAAACAAAAATTAGCTGGGTGTGGTGGCGGATGCCTGTAATCCGAGCTACTTGGGAGGCTGAGACAGAAGAATAGCTTGAACCCAGGAGGTGGAGGTTGCAGTGAGCTGAGACCATGCCACTGCACTCCAGCCTGGGCAAGAATAGGGAAACTCGTCTCAAAGAGAGAGAGAGAGAGTAGGATGCTGGGATTTCCTGATCTTCCTCCTCTTTGTGTCTATCTCTCTTAATTTTTCAGACCTAAAAAAAAGGACAGTGCTGTGAAGCCGGACAGGTGAGTCTTTTGGACTCCAGCTGAGTGGGGGCAGGGGGAGTACAAGTGAGTCCGGAAGCTGTTGCCCCTCTTTCTCCTCCCACCTGTCCCCCGCTTTCCCTTTTCCTCTGCTCCCCAAGCCTGTGTTCTCTGTCCCGACCCCAGCTCCAGGGAAGACTCTTCCTTCCCACCCCAGACATGTCGCTTCTCCTCCCTAGGGCTGCCACTCCCCACCACCGTCCCCAGCCCCGCTCTGTTCCGGGCTGGGACTCTGCCCCCGGAGCACCCTCCCCAGCTGACATCACCCATCCCACTCCAGCCCCAGGACCCTCTGCCCACGCTGCACCCAGCGCCACCAGCGCCCTGACCCCCGGACCTGCCGCTGCCGCTGTCGACGCCGCAGCTTCCTCCGTTGCCAAGGGCGGGGCTTAGAGCTCAACCCAGACACCTGCAGGTGAGGTGTCTGTAGGGTGGTGTTTGTTTGGGAAGGCACCAAGGTCCTGTCCTGGAGCAGGTCCAGGGTGAGCCTGCCAGTAGGAGGAGGGCCAGGGAAGGGGAAACTGTTGAATGTGTTGAACAAATATTTACCAAGCAGCTGCTGGCACCTGGAGCTATGTAAGCAAGTCCAACATTCTAACTCAGGAGTCAGATACAGGAGGGACGATGCCAGCAGAGGATGTCAAGGGCTGTGGTGAGGGGCACCTGGCCTCATCTTTCAGAGGTCAGAGATCTCTTGGAGGAGGTGACATCTGCCTGGGGTAGAAATGTGGGACATAGCTTTTCCAGCTTGCAGTTCGGGCCTTCCCAGAAGCCCCTGTGGTAGACATCTCCCTACCTGTGGGCTTCGAGAGGACATAGTGGAACCCTCATACACCCTTATCTGATGTATTTCTCACCACCTCTCTCCTGCAGTGAGGCCATGGGGTGACATCATATGGGCCAGGCCAGTGGGGGCTCCCGAGGAGTGTCAGGAGGGGATGGCCTTCACAGAAGGTTCATCCTTCCCCCTGCAGCCTCCAGTGCCCAGGGCCGAGTGGTGCGGCAGGACGCTCAGGTTGTGATCTTAGTGGGCCCGAGGCACACGTGAGTCCAGGGCTGGGGCTGCGCTCCAGCCAGCATGAACAGATCACTTCCTCCCTCCTCAGGTGCCAGAAGCTGCGAAGGTGACACATGGCTTTTCAGACTCAGCGGGGTGACTTGCCTCATAGGCTATATCCCAGTGGGGGGACAAAGAGGAGCCTGGTAAAAAACAGCCAAGCCCCCAAGACCTCAGCCCAGGCAGAAGCTGCTCCAGGACCTGGGCCTCTCAGAGGGTTCTTCTGCCATCCCTTGTCTCCCTGAGGCCATCATCAAACAGGACAGAGTTGGAAGAGGAGACTGGGAAGCAGCAAGAGGGGTCATATACCAGCTCAGGGGAGAATGGGGTACTGTCTCAGTTTCTAACCACTCTGTACAAGTAAGCATCTTACAACTGGCTCTTCCTCCCCTCACTAAGAAGACCCAGATCTCTGCATAATAGGATTTGGGCTTTGGTACAAGAACTGTGATCCCCCAACCCTGATAAAAGAGATGGAAGGAGCTGTCCCTGCCTGTGTCACTGTTTGTCACTGTCCAGGCTGGCTGGTTTGGGCATGAATGTTTGCATCACTAAATCTAAAGCTTGTCTTGCTCCCTTGTCGTGCAGATGGAAGAAATGAGGACTAAGGCTCCACAGCAGATCCCAGGCAGGGCCAGAATTATGTATTCATCACTTTCATGTTATTGCCAGGCATGGGAGTCAGGGAGAGCCCAGTCAACAGCCTGCCCTCCTCCTCTTCACCGGGGTTCTTTTCTGGAAGGAGACGACCTTCTGTGGCCAAAGAGCCTGGGGTAGGACCCAGATCTGCTGAGTGACCTTGCTTGTCACTACCCCTGCCTCTCTGAGCAGCAGTTTCCACATGTGCACATAGAGGGAACAGAAGATTGCTATGGTTGGCGTCCTCGGGTCTCAGAGAAGTTTGAGACTATCTTTACATAACAGAAAAAAAACACTTGTTCTTCCTGCCAGGCAGCACTTTCAGCATCTGCTGCTTTTTGTTCCCTGCAGCTTGAATCTAAAGCCCTGGTACCTGCCCTGTCTTAACTTCACTCCCATTTCCCTGAAAGGGAAGCACCAAAGGTCTGGGGCTGGTGGGCCTGGTTTGGGCGGCAGTGTCTTCCCCCCTTCAACCATATCCCATCACAGGCTTTTTTTTCTCTTTCCTTTTTTTTTTTTTTTTTTTTGAACAGTGTCCTCACTCTGTTCCGCCAGGGGGCTGAGTTGCAAGTGGTGCGATCCCGCTATAGCAACCCAAACTCTCAACCCATTTCCTTCCTTGGCCCTCCATTCTCTCCCCAAGTTAGTTGTTTATGTACCTCACCGGTCCTACCAGCCCGACGGGCAGACTAATTTTTTTTTGTATTTTTAGTAGAGATGGGTTTCACCATGTGGGCCAGGCTGGTCTGGAACTCCTGACCTCAGGTGATCCACCTGCCTCAGCCTCCCAAAGTGCTGAGATTAAAGGTGTGAGCCACCACGCCCGCCCAACCCACACAGTTTTCTCCACCCTCACCTCCTTCGCACCCTGCAGCTCCCTTCACTAGTTGCTGCCTGAGATTCTCCTGACTTGTCTATCCCAGCCCAAGCCCAGCCCCCACCCTTCTCCCTGCAGCCTCCAGTGCCCAGGGCTGAGTGGTTTGGGGTGGATGAAAGGCCAACCTTGGGCACCAGTGCTTTGCCTGCTGAGGCAGGACATTCGGGGCAGAGTTAACTCAATTGGGCAGCCACGGGGGGGGGGGGGCAGCCACCCTAATGGAGGCTTTCTCTGAGGTGTTGGGTCAGAGCATGTGGGTATGATTTTAGTGGGCCTAAAGCAGGAGTGGGTTGAACCAGCAGACAATTCCTGACAGCGATTACTACTTTCAAATCATTTTCTCAGTCATGATGTCACTAGACATGCCATAGGTCAATTAGCATGAGGCAGAGGAGGGTTAGGGCTCCAAAGAGCTACCACCTCCAGAGCCCAGTCAGCCCCACCAGACAGGCACGATGCTTCACATGCACCTCCTCACTTCCTCCTTAATTCTGAGGTCAGCATCATGATTGTCTTCCTTTTACAATTGAGGAAATAGGCTCAGAAAGGCTAATTGGCCGGGGGATTTGACCTCAAATCGGCTGTCTCCCTAACCTTCAACCTAGGTTTAGCTGCCTCTCAACCGCAGGTTCATTACTTCAGTTGACAGATGTTTGGTGGCTGCTGGGGCGCCTGAAAATAAGTCTGGTGGGGGAACAGGCCCAGCCAGATCATTCCAGTCATGAGTCACAGCCCAGGTGCACAGGTAGAGGTAAGCCTGGCTCCTGGGAGAGAGACGTGGGTGGGAGCATTGGCTGGAAGCCAGGGCTTGGCACTGAACATCATCTCGGTCCTGCAGGGATCCCGTGGGCTGGGTGTCATCAAGCCCGTGTTACACGCCTGTGTTGGATGACAAATTCCACCAAGCACACAGCCGACCTGTAATTCAAACCTGAGGGTCACTGTGAAGCCCAGGCTCTTTCCACAGCGACTGAGGGCTGTGGGCTATGATGAGGCCTGGGAAAACAGGAGTGCTGTGGGAGAGGCTGGAGGCGACTTGAAATGGCGCCTCAAGACCCCCACCGGGAACCCACGCCGCCCTGACCTTACTATCACCTCGGCCGGAAGTGCCTCCGGCCTTTTCGGAAGTCACTTTCACCTAACCTTACAGACTACCGCTCCGCCGGAAGTGACGCAGCAGCGCCGTCGTGGGGGCGGGGCTAGGGAAAGACCCGCGCCAGCGGGCGTGTGGCCGCGGGTTTCGCACGGCCCAATGAGGGAGGGCGGCGTGGCCCGGCCTGGTAGCGACAAGGACGCGCCTGCGCAGAGGCGGCAGCACCACCGGGGTTGACTCCGGGGGCGCGGCGAGGAGGTGAGCGGGGGCCACAGCCCGGGCTGGGGGGAGCCGGGGTGCAAGAGGGCAGGCTGGATCAGGCCGGGCAGGAGCGGACCGGGCTCCGAGTGTCAACGAGAGCTAGGTGACTAGGAAATTGGGGGTGGGGGCCGGAGCTGTCCGGAGATGCCGCAGGGGGAGGGTTCTCACGCCGCACGGGGCGGAGCCCTGGGACTCGGGGCGGGACGTGGAACCGGGAGGGGTGGGACCTCCGAGCTGGTGCCAGTGGAAGGCGGAGCCCGGCGGCAGGGGGCGGAGCTAGGAAGGTCGGGGGACGGAGCCTGGCTCTTGAAGGAGGAGCTGGAGGAGGTGAAAGGCGGAGCCTCGGGGTCGGAAGCAGAGGGGGACGGAGCGCAGGCGCTGGGGGCGGGGCTTCAGCCGGTGAGTGGCGTGGCTACGGCTCCGGAAAAAGGGTCTAGTTCTGTCGAAGGCGGGGCTGCAGGCCCGGGGGCGGCACCGCGTCCTTCGAAGGGCGGTGCCAAGGAGTCAAGGGAGGAGCCTGGCCCGAGTAATGGCCCCGGGCGTCTTCGCGGGGGTGGTCTCCGTGGTGGCCGGGCTTGGGGACGCGGTAGGCCGAGAACTCCACCGGGAGAGGTGGTGTGGGTGGAGCGGGCTCGGCGGCCAGAAGACACAGGGCCAGTCTGGGTGCCCCGGAGACCCCCAAGGGCTCAGAGTTGGGGCGGCGCCTCGGGCGGAGGCACAGGACCAGGCTGGGGGGTATCTCCCGAGGACCCGGGCTCCTCGGAGCCACCCAGCGGGGATGTGTGGGTGCCTCGGGGCCGGCCCCCGGCAGCGGCCGCGGAGGTGTGGGTGTGCTGGGCCGGGGGCAGCTGGGTGTGGCGTGAGTGGGACCGCCCAGTCGGGGCAACTGCAGTGCAGCCAGATAGGGTCTGGACTTTACGCAAAGGGACAGGCGGGAACTGAAGAGCGGAGGTGGGGACCGGGAGGGAGGGAAGGTATGGGGGTGAGCAAAGGGGCGGGGCCCTGGCTGCTGTGGCCTCCCCTGACCCCCTTCCCCCGCTGCTGGGGTCCTCGGCCAAGCCCCCTTCTCACTGGACTGGTAAGTGTGGCCCCGGAGCCCGGGGGAGAGGGCGGTGACCCGGGACAAAGGGGATTCCCCGGGGCAAGCAAGATGCAGTGGTGGTGGAACCCTCCTGTTACCTACCCGTGTTCCATATTCTCCCTGCCCTCCCCCACGTTCAGTCGGTCGGTCGGGGTCTGTGCCCACAGAAACATGAGGCTGAGCTGGGTCCGGGTCCTGACAGTACTGTCCATCTGCCTGAGTGCCGTGGCCACGGCCACGGGGGCCGAGGGCAAAAGGAAGCTGCAGATCGGGGTCAAGAAGCGGGTGGACCACTGTCCCATCAAATCGCGTAAAGGGGATGTCCTGCACATGCACTACACGGTGAGTGGGATGGGCGGGCCTTTTGGAAGTGGATGGGGCTTCCGAGGACCAGAAAGTGCTTGGGAGTCTGGTTCTCCATCAGCCAGGTAGATGACCTTGGACAAGTCCCCTCTCCCCTCTAAGCCAGCTTCCATGGTTCTGCCTTGCCCTTGCCTACTGCCCAGGTGGGCACCAGCAGGCAGTGACAGTATACTGTGAGCTGCCCAAGGCTCTGTCCTCTTAGAAAACTATGACCAGCCGGGCACAGTGGCTCACCCCAGTAATCCCAGCACTTTGGGAGGCCAAGGCATGTGATCACCTGAGGTCAGGAATTTGAGACCAGCTTGGCCTCATGATGAAATTTTCTCTACTGAAAATACAAAATTAGCCGGGGGTGGTGGCAGGCGCCTATAATCCCAGCTACTTCGGAGGCTGAGGTGGGAGAATTGGTTGAACCCGGGAGGCAGAGGCTGCAGTGAGGCAAGATCATGCCACTGTACTCCAGCCATGGCAACAGAGACTCCATCTCAAAAAACAAAAAGGACTGACCACCAGTGCTGTGGGGGCCAGCTTGATGGGGAAAGCAGCTGAGGGAGGGGGACGTCTGGGGTGGTCCCCTCTTCCTCACTGGCCTTCTCCTGGTCCCACAGGGGAAGCTGGAAGATGGGACAGAGTTTGACAGCAGCCTGCCCCAGAACCAGCCCTTTGTCTTCTCCCTTGGCACAGGCCAGGTCATCAAGGGCTGGGACCAGGGGCTGCTGGGGTGAGTCATGGGGGAATGGGCTTGGGAGCGGGGGCGTGCATGGCCACCGCCCAGGAGGTAAGCTGTGGGAGGCAAGCCCCAAGAATACAAGACAGAGGCCCTGGGTGCTGCCATGGGCTGAGCATGTGTCTTCCTGCAGGATGTGTGAGGGGGAGAAGCGCAAGCTGGTGATCCCGTCTGAGCTGGGTAAGAGGCCCCTCCTGAGGGTGCAGAGCAGGTTGCGGTGTGTGACTGGGAGGGGTGAAAGTTGCTTCAGCCTTTCATTGGTCTTCACCATATCCATTCATTACAATACACGCCTTCTCCAAGTTTGGCTGTCTAGCAGTGAGTACAGGGCAAGATCCTTGAAACACTCAGCTGTAGCGGCCCAACTCTGCCCTTGCCAGGCCTTTGGCACCCCCTTCCCATCTCCATTACCCTTCTCCATTTCTGGCCTTCTTGCTGAGAGGGGCAGAACACCTTCCCTTTGCCGAAGCTGGAAGGGAGCTTGGCCGTCACTGACTCTTTGTGCATCTTCAACAGGGTATGGAGAGCGGGGAGCTCCCCCAAAGATTCCAGGTAGTAAACCTTTTGATGCCCCCCATCACCTGCAGCCAGCCCACCTCCCTGTGGCCCTGGTTGGCCTTTTGACTCCCCTTCTCCCCTACAGGTGGTGCAACCCTGGTGTTCGAGGTGGAGCTGCTCAAAATCGAGCGACGATCTGAGCTGTAACCAGACTGGGGAGGGGTAGGGGGAGAGGCCCCCATCAGGGACCAGACTGTTCCAAAAACAAAACAAAACAAAACAAAAAAAACAAAAAAACTTAAAAGCCCAAGGAGTAAGCCTGTGTGTGTTTGTGGGCCCTTAGAGACTCAGAGACCTCAGCTCTGGCATACCCCACCACCTTCTCTTTTCCTGACTGTGGAGCCTTGGGGATCTAGGCTCAATGGACATGGTGGCCCTTGCCCAGAGAAAAAGGAGTGTTCCTGCCTGCCAGCAGCAATAGCACTGCTCCCCACAGCTCCCCAGCCACTTCCAGCTCCTGGTCTGGGAGCCAGCACTGGGCTATCATCATAGCTACATGGCCCTCAGGAAGGCCTGTGGTCACCTGGGGAGAAGCTGAGCTGGCAGAAGTCACAGAGCAGGGTGCCCCCTAAGAGACCAGCCGAGCCTGTTAGCTGCACCAAAGGCATCTCCTAGCTTTATTAACGGGCCCGCGCTGCAGAGTCAATATAAAAACACAAAAAGTCCCATCAGTTTAATAACAATAAAAAACCCCAAAAGTGGAAAACTGAGGGGGCAGGGGAAGAGACCCCTGGGCCAGGGGCACGAGGAGCCCTGCTCATGGCACCAGGCCTGGCCGCAGGGTCCCCCGGTATTGCTGTTGCTACGAGGTCAGGGGGCAGCGATTGTCCTGTGGGAGCCACCGTTCGCCTGGGTCGGGGACCCTCACTTCTTCTGGGGTGTGCTCAGCTTCTGCATGCCCCGGATCTTGTCCAGCAGGCCAGAGATGAAGGCCTGGGTGGGAGGATAAACATTAAGGAGACCAAACCCCTAGACGACAGGAGCCAGGCTCCCCTCACCCCCCCCCCCCCGGGGGAAATCTCTTACCTCTGTGGGTTTGTAACAGTCAACCAGCAGCTCCTAGCAGGGGATAGGGGAGGAGGGATAAGTGAGTCCTCTGGAGTGGGGGCCTGGAGCTCACCTTTACCGACTTCCAAGGGACTGGGGCCACCCTGAGGCACAGGAGATGCCACAACCACCTCACAGCTAGGCATTGGCCCTATTCCGCTGAGGCAGGAGCTGAGGCTTGAGGGCCTGGCTCCACAGCCTCGCTTTCCCAGGGCAGTGCCTCAGGCAACCCGCTGCCCCTCAGCCCCCTCACCTTGACCCTGGCAGCCCGGGCATCATCACTCTCCATGTCCAGGAGCTCATCCACATCAATCTCCAGTTCTGGGATCTCCTCTTCCTGGGGTGGGGGTGGGGGAGGAGGGAGAGACATGAGCCTGAGTTGGAGAGAGGGGTTGAGGCCCCTGCCTACCTCTGAGGAACCCGGCCCTCTGCCCAGCAGACACAACGGCAGCTGCTCTGAGGAGGAAAACAGATCAGGCCCGTGCCAAGGCAAACTGCCCAAAGCAGGGTGGGGGGGGAGCTTCCTGTCCCTGCCAGTGGGCACCGGGGGTGCCAGACAAGGCCAGACAGCCAGGGCTGAGGACCTTGGGCTGGGAATCCAGCAGATGTGTCTCCCCAACATCCGGGCCCCCCATCTCACCAGAGCACCGGTGGGTGCAGCTGTCCCAGCTTATCATGCCCCCCTCCCCTCCCCCAAACACCTGTCACAGCTCCCCGGGAGCAAGGAGGAAGTGAAGGCTGAGGGGTCACTGGGAAGGACCCAGGCCTGGCAAAGAGGAAACAAAGAGCCCATGCTTTGGTGAGGGAGGGGTGCCCACCACCCTGCCCCACCCTCCGCAGGAAGCCCCTATCCTGTTTGTAGTCAGCTGCATTCCAGGGCTGGGCTAGGGTAGGCAGGCAGCACCAGGCAAGCCCACTCCTCCACCCTGCCCCCCGGGGCCTGAGTCACCGTCTGAACAACCAGGGAGTCATGGGGGTGGAGAAGCAGAGCCCAGAAAGCGGGCTAGCCTGCACGCACGCCAAGATGGAGCTCCAGGCTAGCCCACAGAACAGCCCAGCCCCAGTCGCCTACCAGACCAGCCCCGTGTAACCACAGTCTAAGCCAGTGGGCACCAGGCGGTGAGACCTCCTGCCGCTGCCAGCCCAGACTAGCCCCCTTGCCTCTTGCCCAAGGCCCAGGCCACCCCTTGAGGCTTCTGGAGGACACTAAGCTGGACGCGGGGAGTGGCATAATGGGGGCCAGGGTCCGAGGCAGCGGAGAAGATAGAAGTGACTTAGGTCAGGGAAGAAAGAGTATATATTGGGGGCAGGGAGTGCAGAGGGGAGGGGAGCGCGCAGGGAAGCAGAGCGCCCTTTGACTCCGGTGACAGGCAAGCTCATAGTGGGGCTCCCAGGCGGACCGGCTCGAGACCGATTTTGGGGTGTCGGCGCGGGGTGGGAACACACCTGGCAGTCGTAGAGGCGCGTAAGCTGCTCCAGGATCCACTCCTCTAGGTTGAGGCGCTTCCGTAGTTCCTTGCGGTCATACTTGACGGTGACCTTCCCTTGGCGCCTCACTGGGCCCTCATCGTCCGCGCCACCCGGGCCCTCTCCTGCGGCCCCGGGGGGGCTCTGAAAGTAGACGCGTGGTCCTGGGCCGCCACTGCCCGGCCCGGGGGCCGGGGCCGCCAACGCCGCGCCCCCCGCCGTGCCGCTGTCCGCCATGGCGGCCGCCGGGGCCACGTGCGCGCGTTGGGCCCCTCCCTGCGCCGCCGCCTCCGGGACGCCCGCCGGCTGGCTCGGGTTAGCTCGCCGGCTCAGCTCCGCGCGGCTCCGCGGCGAGGGCGGCGGCGGGGGCGCCCGGGGGCAGCTGCAGCATGCGGAGCCCCCGGGCCTGGCCTGGCCGCGCCCCGCCCCCTCCCCGCCGATCCGCCCGCCCTTTGTCCCCCGCGGCCGCCGCCCGAGCTGCCGCCGCCGAAGCGCTTTCTCTGTCTAGCTCTTCCTCCGCCCCCCGACCACACCCCCTTAAAGGGCCAGCCCCTCTACGGGCCCCTCTCCCCTACTCCGCCCCCGGGCAGGGGTAGGGGAGGGTCTATTCGGCAAGGGGAGGCCTAGCTGTCCGTATCGCCCCCAAATGCAACCTTCCAGTCCCAAACCCAGGCGTTCTAAGCGCTCAGGACGACGATTTGCGCTCACGCCAGGACCCTAGTCCTCATTGGACCCTTCCTCATTCTATCCTCATTGAGGCCATCTGAGAATAGGAGCCATCTGAGAATGCAGGGGAGTGGACATCATGTGCAGACAGGGAGTCTGGTGAGGAGACGCTGCGGTCCCCGACGTTCAGGTCCTCCAGCCCTCGGCCGGCGAGGGGCAAACGGGCTGCTCCGCATGGACCCACACGTGGACTGGGCTCCTGGGAAAGTAGGAGTGGAGAAGGCGGGCAGGAGCTGTCCGGGTCCCTAGACTCTGACTAGCAGGTCCCACGCCCCTAACGGAGGAAGCCGGGGCTGGGGGGTGAGCGGTGGCACCCGGCCGGCCCGAACGGCCGACCCCGGGCAGCCACCGCCCACCGGCAAGATGGCGCGGGGCTCGGGCTTGTGGGAAACGGAGTCCGCGCCCGGCACCGCCCCTCCCCCGCTGTGCGGCCAGGCCGGGAAGCGCAAAGTTGTTTGGGGCCTCCTCTGCGCCCCGCGACCCGTGTGTGCACAGAGGGGGAAACTAAGGCGCAAAGAGCTGGGCAGTGCGGGGGCCGGGACTCATAATAATAAAGGCGATAATCGCGGCTGCCCCTACAAGCGTGCGTCCGGACCGCCGCCCAGTCGGCTCCGCCGAGAGGGGGCCGTGCCGGGGCTTCTGCACCCCAGCCCTGCGGCCCCTCGGTCCTTCACATAGCCCTGGCTCACCTCCTATAAGTGGACGGCGCATCCCGTTCCCTCCTCTACTTGATTTTCTGCATCTTTAAATGGCCTCATTCATTCGTTTATTGTCTGTCTCCCACTTTTAGATTGTGAGTTCCGTGGGGCTGAGCCCTGCTTGGACATGGCCTGCTGGTGCCACCAGGCTTGAATGGTCTTCAAATCCACTGCTATTAGGCAAATTATCTGGTTCCCGCTGAACCCCAGCACCTAGAACTATGTCACACTCAGTAGGTCGCCGCATTGGTTGAACAAATGATTTTGAAAGAATGAATGGCTTCCTCTGTGCCTGCATTTCCTCAGAAGGTTGTAACAAAGATTAAATAGGAAAATTCGTAGAAAGTTCAATTACTACACCACAGAGGTTAATTAAGTCGCACTTCTAGATAAAACGGGAGATGAGACTTTGAACCCAGGCTGTGTAGCTCAAACCCCCGACACGAAGTCTCTACTCAACCTTCTCGCCTCCCTGTAGACACCACCCAGTAAGGCTGCGCAGCTCCCGGGGGATATTTCTGTGGAAGGCAGGCTCACCTTGTGCCATCCCAAACAGGGTCTTGGATCTGAGAGGCAATGTTTCTGCTCCAGCCCCTCACAGACACTCTTTGGATGTTGTGGGGGGAAGCCCTCTGCAGTGGGTGGGGTTCAGAGATGGATTGGGATTGGCCCCGGGGTCACACAGCTGGGGCTGCATCCAAACTCCAACCCAGGACGTTGGGCTCCTCCTTTGCCCTACAGTCAGAGAGAAGAGACAAAGAGAAGACTGAGGCTGGGCATTGTAAGGGCGATGGGCTCACAGGGCTCAGTTCAGGGAAGGGTAGAGTGAGCTGACCCCTCCCCTTCCTGTGCCCCTCCTCTGGCCTCAGCCTCCCTTCAGCCAGTCTGGGCCCCGAGGAAGGGCTGACCCTCACTCTTGCGGATTAGACAGGATCCACCCTCTCCACCGGGAGCCCTGTCTGTGGCCTGGCCTCCTGCCCTAAGCCTGGCCTGACAGGAGGATCACTTGACCCCAGTCCAAATTTCCCACCACACCCCACCAGGCCAGGCCAGCTTCCTCTGAACCCAAGCATTGTTTGCACCTTGCAGGTGCACACGGATTAAAGGGGAAGACCCTCAAACAGCCCCTAATGCCCAACAGCTTCTGTGGAAGTGGGGCCTGCAGGCCATGAGGACCTCCAGTCCTAGCTCTGCCCCCAAGATGCTGTGACCCTGAGCACTGACCTTTCTGTCTGTCCTCCCTCAGGGTTGGTGTGAAGGTCACCGGCCATGTCCACAGGTCAGGCATTCTTCCTGACTCTCCCTCTTTCCCCCTCCTGTGCCATGCCCGGGCACACCCAGATTCCTGTCCAGTTCCCATGGCTATCCACCCAAGATGACTTGGTGTAGGTGGGCATGCTGGCCTGCCACCTGCTTGGAAGCTGGGCCACAGAACCTTAGTCTTGGAGTAGAAGAACTGGGTTCAAATCCTGGCTCTGCCGCATGGGCTGGGAGGCTGTTTGCAAGTCATTTACCTGTCCAGAGCCTCTTCACGGGGCTTGCGGTCCTGACCTCTTGTGGTTGGGACCCGTGCCCAGCCCTGGCCCTCCTGCCTGAGCCCTACTGGGACTGGAGTGTACCACTGCTCCTCCTCCTTCTAGCCTCAGGCTGTGGCCTCCTCGGCCCTACCCCTCCCAGGGCCCCAGCCCCCCTCCATTAGAGTACATCATTGAAGCAGAGGCTCTGGGGAGGGTCCTGTGGGTCAAGACCGCTCCTTAATCAAGGGGAGAGTCCGGAAAGGCTTCCTGCCTTCACCATTACTGCCTGCTGAGAAACCCTATTACCGTTACCAAGGATGGAAGTGTCTGGGAAGGAAGGAGCCCTGTAATGGGGGCTGCCCTGGCCTCCGGAGACACAGGGTTGGGGGAGGAGAGAGGCTTAAGCCCAGGAAACAGGTGCCTATCCTGTTTTTTTCCCCAAGGAGCTGCCGCCCAATGCTTCTCTAAAGTACCCTTGCCCAAGGCCTAGGGCCCACAGCTGAGACCCCCTAAGCTAAAGCCTTGGCTCCAGGCTTTGCTAGCCCTGGCACAGGCTGGAGGTTCCCCTGCCCCAGAGCCGACCTATGCCCTTTGCTCCCTCCCTGGTGTCCCCACAGCTTCCAGCCACTCATGTCCCACCCATTTGCTTATGTATCTAACAACCTTTAGGTTCTGGACAAGGTGACTGAGGCACCTAGAGAGACTAGGTTCTGCCACTAGCAAGAGGCTGCTAGCAAGAGCCGGACTTGAACTCCAGCCTGTGAGGGCAGAGGCCAAGCTCCACCTTGCATGGCTCTGTTTTCCCAATGAGGTCTAGAGGCTCCTGGGCCTCAGGAAGTGGGAGGGTTGAAATCCTCCTAAGAAGCCGTGTGACCTTGGGCAAGTCCCTTCCCCTCTCTGGGCCTCAAGTGGAGATCGTAATCACACCCCACAAGGCCAGGGCTGAGAGCTAGGAGATCTGCTAGGTTAGACTTGATGGAGAACTTGGTGGGGTGTGGAGGAAGGCCAGGGCCAGGCAGGGGTCCTTGTGGGGGTCTCAGAGCCTGGGGCAAAGGGGCCTGCAGGGGAGCGCCTCCTCCGCTGACCCCTCCTCCCCCAGAGCCAGCTGCATCTCTTTCTGGGTTTCTAGGTGACTTGGCTGGCCCCTCTGGATGAGTTCTACTTTAAACCTGCTGCTGTTACTGCCTCTGTATTGGGGGGGCTCCCACAGGGGCCCCCAGGCAGGAACCCCCCCCACCAGCCAAGCCCTGCGGGAGGGGCTGCAGCCCCCACCCATCCCATTGCCCATGCGCCTTCCCCGCTCCCATCCCTGGAACGCAGATTTCAGGGCACCTGCTGTGGGCCAGGCACTGCAGAGCCCCTCCTCAACCCTCCTGTCTGGGGACACCCGCAAAGCTTCTGACCCCTCTAGGCAGACAACAGCGTCCCCCCCGCGGTTCCCAGCCAAGAGGCTCACAGTCAGGCTCCAGTCATGGGAGTCTGCGGCAACAAGAAGGGGGCTGTTCTAGGGCCCACTCTCGAAGACCAGGATGCTTGGGTCCTCAGAGGAGGTGGCAGGCGCCCGGCCTCCCTGGGCCAGGGACGGGGGAGGGGCGCCTGCCGGCGGGAGGCCCATTAGCCGGCTAAGTGCTCCCAGGGAGGGGGGACCGCGCAGCAGAAGAGTGGGTGAGGCGAAGCCAGGGCAGAGGGGGGCGGGAGAAGCTTTTCCTGCATTCAGCTAAGTGCGGCAGAAGAGGGTGGGCGACAGGGCTCTGCGGCGACCCCTGGCCCAAGTCCAGCTCTCCAGTGGTATTGCAGCCCCCGTCGCTCAGAAACCTCAGTGGGCTGATCCCGGACCGCCTTAAGCAGCGCCCTCTACACCCAGTCCCTCCAGCTGCTCCCCAACAGCCACTTCGGCCCCCAGCACCCTCCTTCCTCCATAGGCCTGAAGAATCAGGTCCTGCTGAGCCCCGCAGCAAAGCCCCCGACCGGTTCGCGTGCCCCTGCCCCAATCCTTGCTCCGGCTGCAGTCGCCGCCCCGGCCGCCAGGGGGAGCCGACGCGGGGCGGGCGGGTCCGACGCGGCGGGAGGGGGCGGGGCCCGGGAGGCCCCGCCCCGTCCCCGCCCCGCCCGGGCCCCGCCGAGGCTCTGGTCGGTCCGGGACAGACTGGCGGGCGGGCGGACGGGTACTGACGCCGCGGGGCCGAAGCGGGCCGGGCGGTGGGAGCAGCGGCGCCGTCAGTCCCCGTCAGGGCTCCGTGGGTCCCCGACCCGCCCCTGGCCCGGCCATGGCGGGCGCCCAGCCCGGCGTCCACGCGCTGCAGCTGGAGCCGCCCACCGTGGTGGAGACCCTGCGGCGCGGGAGTAAGTTCATCAAATGGGACGAGGTAAGCGTGCGGGCCCCTGCTCCGCCCCGATCCCGGGACTCTTTCTGTCAAGCTCGACCAGTTGCTGGGGACCCCTACCCCAGCCTCGCCTGCCCGTGGCGCCACCCTCATCCCAGCCCCGGAAACTTAAGTCCCCGATCGTCTCCGTAATGAAGACTTTGTCCCCCCAACTCCCAGTCTCTCAGCTCTGGAAAACTGGGCTCCACTCCTTGGCGCAGAGACTTTGAACCCCAATAAACCCCGTTCCCCCGTTTTCATTCGCCCTTCCCACCACTCCCTGCCAGACTAATTCTGGTTCCCCGATCCTGGCCTGGTCCCCAGACCCCTGCCCAGCACTAGACTCCCCGGCTGCAGGACCCTGACCTCCAGGCTGGCTTGGGGCATCCTCATTCTGGGTGTGTGCCAGGGCGTCCCTACTCTCCCCGGTGCCCTGCCTGAACAGTCCTCGTCCATTCATCATTTTTCCCCCTATTCTGGTTGGCACCCCTTCGCCCTGCTTCTAGATCCCAGCTCAGCTCCCTGCTCAGGTGGGAGCACCCAGTCACCCCCTAGGAAAGACTTTGCCCCCCAAGTTCCTCCACCCCTGGGAACTTTGCTCCCCACTCCTTAGGCTTGGGATCTTGAACCCCAATACATCCTGGCCCCCCTTTCCCTGTCCTGCCCCTGGTGCTTCCCAAATGCCCGTGTCCCCACCTTTGGCTGCCCATCCCCATCCTGGGTCCCCTCTTCTGCCCCCTGGGCCTCTCCTTCCCCAGGGCCTCCACCCGGCCGGCCTGAGCTTCCTCGCGGCTCCTTCCCAGTCAGGCCACGGGCCTGGAAGACTCTGGGCTCTTTTCCGGCTGGGTGGGGCCCCGGGGAAGGCGTGGGAGCTGGGGGGAGGAGATGGGGGCGTGGCCCGAAGCGGCAGGTGTGTGAGGAGGGGTGCCTGGGTGCCCCAGAGGCCGGGGGAGACCCCTCCCCCCAGGCTGGCCTGAAGGGAAAAGTTTCTTCTTTTCCTTCCACTGTGATAAACCCAAATAAGGAAGTGGGAACAGGGAGAGGGCCCTGGGGGTGGGGTGGGGGGTGCGGACAGAGGCTTGGGGCAGGAGAGCAGGGGGCCTGGGCTGTCTTTGAGAGCCAGACCTCTGGGGAGAGGTTGGGAGGAAACCCGAGGGGCAGTACCCATAGACTCCCCTCCCCGCTCCGCACACCACTGGGGGGCCTCAGACTCAAGGTAGGGTTGGGAATCCCGAGAGGGGCTGGGGGCTGGGTGTCAGCACACTGAAGTGGGGAGGCCTATGCATCCCCAAAGTTTTGAGGCCTTCTGTCCCTTCTGTTCCCAGATGAACACCCATACTTTGTAAGCAAAGCCTGCCATGGGTGGGGCTGCTGCAATCCCCATTCTCCAGAAAAAGAAACTGAGGTCTGGAAAGCAGAGACTTATCCCAGGCCCCACAATGGGGTGTGGCTGAGGCCAGGAGCTGGGAGTCTCCGCTCCCTGCTTCCCAGGTCACAGGACGCTGCAACCACACTGCCTGCAAGCAAGTCCTGGCTCCAGTGACCTCGGGCAGGCTACGAAGTGTGCCTGTAACTAAGTGTCTTCATCTGTGAAATGGGAGTGACAACAGCACATCTCTTAGGCTGGTTAGGGGGCCTTTGTGTGCTCGAAGATGCTAGGTGCATAGAACTGTACCCGGTGTGCAGTAGGGGCGACGTGTGTATATGAGATGTATTGATAATGACAGTATTGTCCACCAGACACTGAGCAGCTGTTTAGGGGTGGTGCCCAACATGAGGTGGGGTCCTTTTCTGGCTGGAAGAGCCTGGAATAGGAGGGTTCTACCTGTAGCCACTTGGTCAGTCTGGCCCTGGCTTGAGTCTAAGCCCTGGAGAACAGTCCCTCTGGCTGCTGGTCCTGAGTCACACGGGGTGGCCCTGGGAGTTTGCCAGGGACCGGGCCCTTCTCAGAAAATGGTGCTGGCATGCACTTCCCTGCCCCCTGCCAGCTGCAGGGCTGTTTGAGGGAGGAAGAGCTCACTGCCCTGTCCTGAGAGTAGGGCGAGTCCCCTTCTAGGGGGACTGTTCTTCTGTAAGATGGGATGAGCTTTGAAGCTGTGAGGACCCCGGCAGATGTGGTAAGGTGAATAGTGGCCTCTGAGGCAGACCAAGGCGTCATCGTGGTATCCCAAGGGATGCAGAAGGGCAGTGGGAGTCAGACTTCTCACTTTCATGCCTTAAACATTCTGTAGTGGGGTGAATTAGGGGGGCTGTCACCGTCACAGAGCTCTCAGCACTTCTGGGGAAATGAAGCCCAGGATGGGGGCTGGGGAGCCCTTCCAGGTGTGACACTGAATGTCGCACCTAGGACCTTGGCTTTGTTCTGAGGGCCACAGGCAGCCACACAGGACCTGTGGACTGGATGAGGTTTTGTCTTAGCTCACGGGCAGGAACTCTGGGGTGCATGATGGGAGAGCCCCAGGGGCCAGGCCTGCACCACAGCCCTCACTCCTTGACCCCTGCTGCCCTGTGCCGTCCCCAGGAGACCTCCAGTCGGAACCTGGTGACCCTGCGTGTGGACCCCAGTGGCTTCTTCTTGTACTGGACAGGCCCCAACATGGTGAGGGGGGGCGCTGGTGCAGCTCGCTCAGGCCAAAGGCCCCTGTTCCAGACCCCTGCCCTGCCCGTGGGGGTGGGGCCCTGCTGCAGGCTGACCTCTCCCACTGCTGCCCAGACAGGAAGTGCTCAGGGCAGGAGCTGAGGCTGGGGCTATAGCCAGGGGCTGGCCACTCCCTGGCCTGGGTAGGGAGCTTGGAGGCTCCTGGCTGTCACCCTACAGCCTCTCATACCCAGCCCGGCATCTGGTTCCCCCCAGGAGGTGGACACACTGGACATCAGTTCCATCAGGGACACACGGACAGGCCGGTACGCCCGTCTGCCCAAGGTGAGTGATGGAACCTGGGAGTGAAGACCACAGCGAGGCTGTGAGGCCTGGGAGCTCCTCCTCACCCTTCGCTGTCACCTACTCAGGACCCCAAGATCCGGGAAGTTCTGGGCTTTGGGGGTCCCGATGCCCGGCTGGAGGAGAAGCTGATGACGGTGGTGTCTGGGCCGGACCCAGTGAACACAGTGTTCTTGAACTTCATGGCCGTGCAGGATGACACAGCCAAGGTGGGCTGGCACCAAGGGGACAAGCGGGGAGTCACTGTCTTATTCTGTGAGTTGGCCGTCACTTACCGAACACCTGCTGTGTTCTAGGCTGCTCTGTGACCTACTGTGTACCAGAGATAGTTGTGGACCTGGGTTGTGGCTGGGCAGCCCCTCTGTCTCCCATTCACCGCCTCCCCGTGTATACTGGCCCCCCAGGTCTGGTCCGAGGAGCTGTTCAAGCTGGCTATGAACATCCTGGCTCAGAACGCCTCCCGGAACACCTTCCTGCGCAAAGCGTGAGCCCCAGGCCACCTGAGGGGGAGCCGGGGGGTTCACGTGGCCGTTTTCAGGGTGTGACCTCTTCACCTGCCTCCCCAGATACACGAAGCTGAAGCTGCAGGTGAACCAGGATGGTCGGATCCCCGTCAAGAAGTGAGCACCCCTTCCCCCAGCACCTTCCTCCTGCCCTGACCTTGGTAGCCTTTGTCCTCCACTGACCCTCAACCCCTCCTGCCCGCATCAGCATCCTGAAGATGTTCTCAGCAGACAAGAAGCGGGTGGAGACTGCACTGGAATCCTGTGGCCTCAATTTCAACCGGGTGTGTGGGGTGGGGGCAGGGGCGGGGTGGGGTGTCATGGTGGGCACCCACCCTTCCGGGGCTGGCTGCCCCTGGCCTCTCACCCCACACTCCTTGACCTCCAGAGTGAGTCCATCCGGCCTGATGAGTTTTCCTTGGAAATCTTTGAGCGGTTCCTGAACAAGCTGTGTCTGCGGCCGGACATTGACAAGATCCTGCTGGAGATGTGAGCAGGGCCCAGCCTGCCTCCCAGCCCCTGTGCTCTGTGTTTGGCTTTTGCTTAGTGCGCCTCTAGCTCAATGGGGAGAGGGGAAACTGGTGGGCCGGGTCCTGGAGCGCCGGGGGCAGGTGGGAGTGCCCGGGGAGAACCTGTCAATGATATGCCTGTGCTCAGAGCGGCTATTTCTGCCCCTCAGTTACAGGTAGCTCTGGGCTAACCCTGTACCAGGGTTGGTTTAATCAGCCCACTCTGCAATGGGGTCCAAGGCTCAGGTGTGTTGTGAGGTCTGGAAGCAAGGGGTGGTGGGCTGACCACTTGGCAGCTCCTCAGCCCTGGCCATTGCCAGTGCCCACTAGTCTGTTGCCTTGACAATCCTGAGTGGTCAAGAGAGTGAACAGGGAAACTGAGGCCCAGAGGTTGGCCGTGACTCACCCAGAGTCCCACTCACTGGGTGCCAGACCCAGGAGTAGGCTTTCTGACTCCTTTGCCCAGGGCAAGGGCTTGGTGAGGGGATGGGAGCCCTGCAAGGCTCCATCCTCACCCGGCTTCCTGCCCCCTCCAGAGGTGCCAAGGGCAAGCCATACCTGACACTGGAGCAGCTCATGGACTTCATCAACCAGAAGCAACGCGACCCGAGACTCAACGAAGTGCTGTACCCGCCGCTGCGGCCCTCCCAGGCCCGACTGCTCATCGAAAAGTATGAGCCCAACCAGCAGTTTCTGGAGCGAGGTGAGCTGGCCAGGGTGCAGGTGGGCGGGGGCAGGTGGGGCCCCAGCTGACCCTGCTGATCCCCTCCCACCCCAGACCAGATGTCCATGGAGGGCTTTAGCCGCTACCTGGGAGGCGAGGAGAACGGCATCCTGCCCCTGGAAGCCCTGGATCTGAGCGCCGACATGACCCAGCCGCTGAGTGCCTACTTCATCAACTCCTCGCATAACACCTATCTCACTGGTGAGCGGGGAGCAAGGGTGGGGCCCATGACCTCTGCCCTGTAACCCTTGCATTGCCCCACTCCTCCTGGGTCACAGTCCTTTTGGCCCATTTGCTCATTCATCGGCCAGTGCTGGGGATGCAGGCAGGGAACAGGCAGCGGCCCTGAGCTGGGGGGCCTCTCTGCGGGAGCGTGCCCCATGGTGGCTTTACCAGGCAAGGACTGGAATGGCTTGTGTTAGGGCCTGCAGCAGGAGAGACTGCAGGGTGCATTTTTTTTTTTTTTGAGATGGAATTTCGCTCTTGTTGCCCAGGCTAGAGTGCAATGGCACGATCTCGGCTCACCGCAACCTCTGCCTGCCAAGTTCAAGTGATTCTCCTGCCTCAGCCTCCCAAGTAGCTGGGATTACAGGCATGCGCCACCATGCCCGGCTCATTTTGTATTTTTAGCAGTATTTTCTCCATGTCGATCAGGCTGCTCTCAAACTCTTGACCTCAGGTGATCTGCCTGCCTCGGCCTCCCAAAGTGCTGGGATTACAGGCATGAACCACCGCGCCCGGCCTGCAGGGTGCTTTTAAGAGGCTGGAAGGGGGTTGGGTGTGGTGACTCATGCCTGTAATCCCAGAACTTTGGGAGGCTAAGGCAGGCAGATCACTTGAGCCCAGGTTTTAAGACCAGCCTTGGCAACATAGCATGACCCCGTCTCTACAAATAATTTTTTAAAAATTAGCTGGGTATTGTGGCGCATACCTGTGGTCTCAGCTGCTTGGGAGGCTGAGGTGGGAGTATCCCTTGGTTCTGGGAAGGTTGAGGCAGGAGTAAGCTGTGATTGCACCACTGCACTCCAGCCTGGGTGACAGAGTGAGACCCTTTCTCAAAAAAAAGTTAAATAAATAATAATTTAAAAAAAAAAGCAGAGCCGGGCGCGGTGGCTCAAGCCTGTAATCCCAGCACTTTGGGAGGCCGAGACGGGCGGATCACGAGGTCAGGAGATCGAGACCATCCTGGCTAACCCAGTGAAACCCTGTCTCTACTAAAAAAAAAAAAAAATACAAAAAACTAGCCGGGCGAGGTGGCGGGCGCCTGTAGTCCCAACTACTCGGGAGGCTAAGGCAGGAGAATGGCGTGAACCCGGCAGGCGGAGCTTGCAGTGAGCTGAGATCCAGCCACTGCACTCCAGCCTGGGCGATAGAGCGAGACTCCGTCTCAAAAAAAATAATAATAATTAAAAAAAAAAAAAAGCAGAAAGGAAGCTGGAGGGGGCAGGGTGCAGAGTGCTGGGGATAGGTGCCTGTTAAGAGAGGGAGAGCAAGGCAAGCTAGGCCCAGGGACCCAGAGGCACTTGGATTCATCCTGAGTGGGAGGGAGAGGCCTTTTGGAGGGTGAAGCAGAAGAGGTGATGAGACCTGATATGATATGTTCTTAGAAGGATGATGCCAGGTGCTCTGTAGAGACTGGATTCAGGCCAGGAGCAGTGACTCACGCCTGTAATCCCAGCACTTTGAGAGGCTGAGGTGTGTGGATCACCTGAGGTCAGGAGTTTGAGACCAGCCTGGCCAACATGGTGAAACCCTGTCTCTACTAAAAATACCAAAATTAGCCAGGCATAGTGGTGGGCGCCTGTAATCCCAGCTACTAGGGAGGCTGAGGCAGGAGAATCGCTTGAACCAAGGAGGCGGAGGTTGCAGTGAGCCAAGGTCCTGCCACCGCACTCCAGCCTGGGCGACCGAGTGAGATTCGGTCTCAGAAAAAAAAAAAAAAAGACAGAGAGATTGGATTGGAGGCAGGGAGGCCTGAGTCTTTCACACAGGAAGTGGTGTGAGCTGTGCCAGGGCCGAGATGGGTGGAGGGAGGGAGGAGAGGGGGCGATTGCTGAGTCAGTGGGGAGCTATAGTGAGCCTCAGGGATGACTCCCCCAGCTCACGCTGGTGGGATGGTCAGGTGGTGGGTATCCATCTGAGAGATGGAGAGCCCTCTGCAAATCCAGCATGGCCTGGTTCCGGGTGGGGCCGGGATGGTGAGGAGCTGGGCTGGTGGGCGGCCTTGGTGACAGAGCCTTGCCCCCAGCTGGGCAGCTGGCCGGGACCTCGTCGGTGGAGATGTACCGCCAGGTGCTGCTGTGGGGCTGCCGCTGTGTGGAGCTGGATGTGTGGAAAGGACGGCCGCCCGAGGAGGAACCCTTCATCACCCATGGCTTCACCATGACCACGGAGGTGCCTCTGCGCGACGTGCTGGAGGCCATTGCCGAGACTGCCTTCAAGACCTCGCCCTACCCCGTCATCCTCTCCTTCGAGAACCACGTGGACTCGTGAGTGAGCCCCTGGCATGAAACCCCATGGACCCAGGGACAGCCCTCCCTCCTCAGCGCTGTTGGACTGCTCAGGGACCTCCAACCCTGTGAACCGCCACTGACCTGTCCTGTAGACCCCAGCTTCCTCTAGGGACCTCTGACCTCTGACCTCGGCTCCGCAGGGCAAAGCAGCAGGCAAAGATGGCTGAGTACTGCCGCTCCATCTTTGGAGATGCGCTACTCATCGAGCCTCTGGACAAGTACCCGGTACGGGGGCTCAGAGCGAGGGTAGGGGTATGCGGGCCACGGTGCTGTGGACCTGGTCCAGGGCCCTGACTCGTCCATGCCTGCCCAGCTGGCCCCAGGTGTTCCCCTGCCCAGCCCCCAGGACCTGATGGGCCGTATCCTGGTGAAGAACAAGAAACGGCACAGACCCAGCACAGGTGGCCCAGACAGCGCCGGGCGCAAGCGGCCGCTGGAGCAGAGCAATTCGGCCCTGAGCGAGAGCTCCGCTGCCACTGAGCCCTCCTCCCCGCAGCTTGGTAGGCCCCAGCCTGGCCCGCCACCCTGACCTGACCCCAGCCTCTGGCCTCATGCTGTCGGCGCTGTGACACTTCATCCCAGACCCCCAGCCCACCCTCCCGCCTCGCTGTGCACCTGTTCCCACAACTGGCCTCTCTCCTCACCACCTGTTGGCTGGTGTGGGGCCTCTGACCCCTGACCTCAGGTGCATGCCTCACCGAGCTGCATTGAGTCCACCTGCCCAGTTAGTTATCATTTCAGCTCACCTCTGACCTCTTACCCCTGACGATTCACCTCACTATGCCCCCTCCTTAGACATGGCTCTGACTTACCCGTGACCTGTAACCCCTCTGTGTCATCTCTTACCCCGCTATTAAGGCTGTGGTACCCTACTTCCTGACTTCTCACCCTACTGAACCACCCTATCTGCCTCCCTGCTGAATATCACCCCAGACCTTTACCTTTGACCTATGACCCCTCTCAACCACTACTGGATTTAATACTGTCTGACCCCTGACCTCTTGGCCTCTCCCCAAGCCACACTTCTCTGAGAGTACCCCTTGAATTCCCCACTGAGTCACCTGCACACACTGGGAAAAACCCCTCCACGCTTCCTAAGCAGCTGTGTGGTCCTGACCCCTGACCTTGTGGCCCTGTCCTCTGCAGGGTCGCCCAGCTCTGACAGCTGCCCAGGCCTGAGCAACGGGGAGGAGGGGGCCCTTGAGAAGCCCAGCCTGGAGCCTCGGAAGTCTTTGGGTGAGGAGGGCCTGAACCGGGGCCCCTATGCTCTTGGACCTGCTGACCGTGAGGATGAGGAGGAAGATGAGGAAGAGGAGGAGCAGACAGACCCCAAAAAGCCGACCACAGATGAGGTCAGGCCCAGAGGGCGGGCAAGTTGGGGAGGTAGCATCTATTTACCTCCCAAGCAGTTTATTACCTCCACTGGGGGCTGAGGGTCTGACCACCAACAAGACCGACATCACCCTGCGCCCTGGGGCTCAGTGTGGGTGTGAGTGAAGGTGGGAGGAGGGGTCTTCAGTCATCAGGAATGGAAACAAGCATACAGTTCTCCTGGTGATGTGGCCTGGGAGGTGCGAGTTAGGGCACAGAACTGGCAGAGGGCAGCCCTGGGCAGGGAGGTGGGGCTGGCAGAGCTCAGGAAGGGGGACAGCATGTGCAAAGGTCCTAGGGCAGAGCCAGGGGGTGCAGGAGCGGGGAGCATTGTCATGGGGAGCGTTGAGTAGCTGTGAGGAGTGGTATAGAAAAAACCAGTCTGGGCCGGGCACGGTGGCTCAAGCCTGTAATCCCAGCACTTTGGGAGGCCGAGACGGGCGGATCACGAGGTTAGGAGATCGAGACCATCCTGGCTAACATGGTGAAACCGCGTCTCTACTAAAAAATACAAAAAACTAGCCGGGCGAGGTGGCGGGCGTCTGTAGTCCCAGCTACTTGGGAGGCTGAGGCAGGAGAATGGCGTAAACCCGGGAGGCGGAGCTTGCAGTGAGCTGAGATCCGGCCACTGCACTCCAGCCTGGGCGACGGAGCGAGACTCCGTCTCTAAAAAAAAAAAAAAAAAAAGAAAAAACCAGTCTGAGCCGGGCATGGTGGCTGTAATCCCAGCTACTCGGCAGGCGGAGGTACGAGAATCCCTTGAACCTGGGAGGTGGAGCTTGCAGTGAGCTGAGATCGCGCCGTTGCTACAATTTTGTAGCCTGGGCTACAAAAGGAGACTCTGTCTCAAAAAAAAAAAAAAAAAAAAAAAAAAAAAGACATTGCTATAAAGACAATTACTGGGGCAATTAGTGAAATTTAAAGATGAACTACATATTAGATAATATGTCAATGTTTTGTTTCCTGAATTTAATTATTGTATTGGAGTTATATAAGAGAATGTCCATATATGCTGAAGTATTTATGGGTAAAGGATCATGATGTCTGTAATTTACTCCCAAATGATTCAGTAAAAGTAATGATAATTTTAACACCTATATGTGCTGGGCGAGGTGGCTCACACCTGTAATCCCAACACTTTGGGAGGCCGAGGTGGGCGAGTCACCTGAGGTCGGGAGGTTCAGGACCAGCCTGGCCAACATGGTGAAACCCCCTCTCTACTAAAATTACATAAATTAGCCGGGCAAGGTGGTGGGCGCCTGTAATCCCAGCTACTTGGGAGGCTGAGGCAGGAAAATTGCTTGAGCCAGGTGGTGTCCAGGGCGCATCAGTGAGACCCTGGGAAGAAGATTGTTGGCACCACCAGCAGTGCGTGGATAGTGGTGGGAAGAGGGTCAGCACCTCCTTCATGGGGGGCAGGTGAGGGAATGGCCAGCTGTGGCGGGAGTGGCACTGCTGACCCTGGGTTGGGGCCCACAGGGCACGGCCAGCAGCGAGGTGAATGCCACTGAGGAGATGTCCACGCTTGTCAACTACATCGAGCCTGTCAAGTTCAAGTCCTTTGAGGCTGCTCGAAGTGAGTAGGGGTGGGTGGCAGCCATGGGAGCTTGCCCAGCTCAGCCCTGCCAGGTCTGATGCCGTCTCTTGGCTCACCCCAAGAGAGGAACAAATGCTTCGAGATGTCGTCCTTCGTGGAGACCAAGGCCATGGAGCAACTGACCAAGAGCCCCATGGAGTTTGTGGAGTATCCTTTGAAGGTGCTGTGGGCGGGCAGGCCAGAGTGGGGCGCTTGGAGGCTGGCTGCGGTGTTCTGTCCCCACGTGTGCCACCTGCACAGGGTGCTGGCCCTCCGGCGGCCCTCCTGCACCCTGGCCTGTGGCTTGGGCAGGTCCAGGCAGTCTCAGGGGGCATGGCTAGGCTGAGAAATGGAGGCTGGGTGTGGGAGTCACAGGAGCACCTGGCTGAGGCCGGAGGTGAAGGCTGATGGCGTGGGCCTTGGCACCTGTGTGGCCCCTGACCACCAACCTCAGATACAACAAGCAGCAGCTCAGCCGCATCTACCCCAAGGGCACCCGCGTGGACTCCTCCAACTACATGCCCCAGCTCTTCTGGAACGTAGGGTGCCAGCTTGTTGCGCTCAACTTCCAGACCCTCGGTGAGCCCTGGCCCCTCCATCTTGATCCCGACCCTCAGTCTTACTGACTTCTGACCCATGATCCTGCTGGTCTTGCCTGAACAGACCTCTGACCCTGTCTAATCCCAGATCCCAGGGGAACCCAGCCCCTGACTCACTCGCCTCCTGCCCTTGGCTGATGCCAGACCCCTCCCCTGTCTGATCTGTCCTGGATCCGGACCCTGATGCCATTTGAGCCCACCCCTGGCCCTGGACCTTGGATGCCATCTGACCTGATGGTCTCCCGTTCCCCACATGGCACCGTCCTGCCTGATCCCTGGCCCTGCTCAACTGGCCCATGGCACCCCAGATGTGGCGATGCAGCTCAATGCGGGCGTTTTTGAGTACAACGGGCGCAGCGGGTACCTGCTCAAGCCGGAGTTCATGCGGCGGCCTGACAAATCCTTCGACCCCTTCACTGAGGTCATCGTGGATGGCATTGTGGCCAATGCCTTGCGGGTCAAGGTGGGGCCTGGGGGTGCTCAGGCCAGGGATGTCCTGGGGGCAGGACTCTCAGCATCTGCCTCACCTTCCTTGGCCCACCCCCCAGGTGATCTCGGGGCAGTTCCTATCCGACAGGAAGGTGGGCATCTACGTGGAGGTGGACATGTTTGGCCTCCCTGTTGACACGCGGCGCAAGTACCGCACCCGGACCTCTCAGGGGAACTCGTTCAACCCCGTGTGGGATGAGGAGCCCTTCGACTTCCCCAAGGTGAGCCTGGCCCCTGCACCTGCTCAGGCACAGGGCAGATCCAGCACAGACCGCCCCGGTTCTCGGGTGGGAGAACAAAAACCAAGCACACTGTTGGCGACTGGGGATCAGAAAGCGGGGGGCACCATGAGTCCCCCAGGACCTGCCTGTCCGAGCGTCAGGCTCCCTGCCCTCCTCAGGGTAAGACACCAGGGTGAGAAGGTGAGATGGGGTTGGGGGGTGTCAGCTAGAGATCTTGTATCCTCTGCGAGGAGTGAACGCAGCCTGCCCCATCTCCGAGGCAGGAGCTGAGGTCACAACCCCAAGCTCATATCCGCTCTTCCGCACCCTGCACGGCCCTGCATGGACGCGGCCTCTGCTCCCAACCTAGGCGCGTGCGTTCTTGGTTTCCTGCTCATGGCTCACTCGCGTTTCTAAACTGGCGATGACCAGAACTGTCTGTGGGGGCCCTGAAGGGGCCTGGCTGCCTGTCATCTTGCCTCAGGGTCCTGATGGCTATAGTCATCCATTAGGCCAGGCCATGGAGTTGGGGTCAGCCATCAGCTTAGTGGCAATGGTGACTGATGGTCAGTAGGCCAGCTTGTCTGAAGGTCTGCTCTGTTAGGCTTTGATGGCTGTGGTTAGCTGTGGCCTGGTAGCCACGGTGGCTCAGGGTCAGCCCCGTGGCTCAGCTCCAGTCTGGCCCACAGGTGGTGCTGCCTACGTTGGCTTCACTTCGCATCGCAGCCTTTGAGGAGGGGGGTAAATTTGTAGGGCACCGGATCCTGCCTGTCTCTGCCATCCGCTCTGGTGAGGCCTTGGTGGGCTCTGGGAAGCACAGCGGGCAGTGGGTAGGGCCCCCGCCTGGCCTAGCAACCCAACCTTGCCTTCCTGCCCACCCAGGGTACCACTACGTCTGCCTGCGGAACGAGGCCAACCAGCCGCTGTGCCTTCCGGCCCTGCTCATCTACACTGAAGCCTCGGACTACATTCCTGATGACCACCAGGGTGAGCTGGGGGTGGGCAGGGCCGGCTTGGCCAGGGAGTGTGAGGGACAAGGGCCATCCCCAGGGTCTGGGAGTTGCCGAGCTGGATGGCCCCAACTGAGTGGGGAACAGATCCACAGATCCAAGGACAAGCTCTGGAATTCCTCATTGTGACCAGAGCTGGCGGGTGGGGGTGGCCTGGGGGCTGTGTCTCTGAGACCCTGGCCTTCTGCCTCCCCGCAGACTACGCGGAGGCCCTGATCAACCCCATTAAGCACGTCAGCCTGATGGACCAGAGGGCCCGGCAGCTGGCCGCCCTCATTGGGGAGAGTGAGGTGAGCCGGGGCAGGGCAGGGCTCAGGCTCACTGTGACCCAGGGGGCCGCTGGACATGACTGCTGTGGCCACGTGAGGAGGAGGCTTCTGGTCTCTCTAGTGCAATAGGCTTGGCAGCCCTGGGATTTTGAGGAGATGAAAACCACCCATTTGCATTCAGGATGCCTTCAGGTCAGACCTGGGCTGGAATTCCTCCAGCCTATACAGGCTCCGAGTGGGGGTACAGGGGTCCCACTCACTTTGTCAGGGCAGTGCGAAGCCACAGAAGCTGTTCATATGTGGTGTCCTGGGAGCCATGCGGAGGGCAGTGGCTTCCGTGGGGAGGGGTCAGGCTCAGAGGTTCACCTGTGCTTCCAGACCCAGTCCCCCTGGGGCCTGTGGCAGGCAGGCAGGGAGAGATGACTGCAATTAGGGCTGCCTGGAGCTGTTAGTGGAGAGGCTGGTGCCCACTCTGCGGCTGGTGGAGTCCTCTGTTGATTTAATCAGGAGCTGAGCAGCAAGGAAAATGAGCGACTGTAGGCAAGGCTGGGGGACATAGGCAGGGGAGGAGAGGAGGCTTGGGGCTGGGCCAGGCCTTTCCAGAACAATCTGGGTGTTCCTGAGCACATGCAGTGGGCTGGCATTATGTTATCTTCCCCACAGCCCATGTGGAAAAGGGGTTTAGAAAGGCTTGATTTATAGCTCTTTTCATGCAGACAGCCTCCTGTTACAGAGCAGCTCAGCAGTGGCTTGGACTAAGGGAAGCTGACAGGGGTGCTAGGGGCCCCGGGAAGTGGTAGAGGACAGAAGGGTCTGGAGGGAACAGCATTTCTGGAAAGAGCATTCTCCTTTCTCCCTATAGGCTCAGGCTGGCCAAGAGATGTGCCAGGACACCCAGTCTCAGCAGCTGGGGTCTCAGCTGTCCCCAAACCCCACCCCTAGCCCACTGGATGCCTCCCCCCGCCGGCCCCCCGGCCCCACCACCTCCCCTACCAGCACCTCCCTCAGCAGCCCAGGTAAGGAGCAGCTCGGGTCAGGGGTGGGCCGCAGGGAGGTGCCCCACCACCCTGTCCTTCAGCTCCTCACAGGGCCTCTGCTCCCTAGGGCAGCGCGACGATCTCATCGCCAGCATCCTCTCAGGTAGGGGGCGGGGTACCTGGAGGCCGGGGGGCTGCCTTGCAGTTTCCCCCACCCCCCGCCTACCTTTTCTCTGCCACTCCCAGAGGTGGCCCCCACCCCGCTGGATGAGCTCCGAGGTCACAAGGCTCTGGTCAAGCTCCAGAGCCGGCAAGAGCGAGACCTGCGGGAGCTGCGCAAGAAGCATCAGCGGAAGGCAGTCACCCTCACCCGCCGCCTGCTGGATGGCCTGGCTCAGGCACAGGCTGACGGCAGGTGCCGGCTGCGGCCAGGTGCCCTGTGAGTGTCTGGGCCGCCTGTGTGCTATGTGTGCTGGGTGCACTGAAGTGAACATGGGGGTCGGTGGGCATGGAGAGATGGCAAGAGCCGCTCCTTGACCCCCAGGGAGGAGGGTTCGGGTGCAAGGATGGAGGAGGCTTTCCACACCAGGCACCTCCGTGTCCCCCAGGGAGTGACATCTCTTTTGAAGTCCATGAGGAGCGTGTTGCCCAAACAGGCTCCCATCACTTGTGTGGAGCTAACAGGCCTCCTGGTTTGCATAACAGACCTGGCCCCATGGGGTGGTGTCTGCCATCGCTTGCCGGGGTGTGCCCCCCCCCACACCCTCCCCATCCCAGTTCATGTGACGGACCCAAGCATCACCCAGAGGGGTTCTCCTCGCAGAGGCGGGGCCGCTGATGTGGAGGACACGAAGGAGGGGGAGGACGAGGCAAAGCGGTATCAGGAGTTCCAGAACAGACAGGTGCAGAGCCTGCTGGAGCTGCGGGAGGCCCAGGTGGACGCAGAGGCCCAGCGGAGGCTGGAGCATCTGAGACAGGTAGGAGGCCTGCAGTGGCCAGGGAAAGCCTCCTGGATAGACTGGTCATCAACCCGGCATCACCTGTCGGCTCCCTGTGTCCATAGGCTCTGCAGCGGCTCAGGGAGGTCGTCCTTGATGCAAACACAACTCAGTTCAAGAGGCTGAAAGAGATGAACGAGAGGTGAAGGCCTAGGATGGTCTATGGGAGGGGCTGGGGACTTCTAATACAGAAGGAAGGCAGAGTCTGTGCTTCTGCCGCTGACCCCTCCTTTTTCCCTGCTGGCTTCTCAAGGGAGAAGAAGGAACTGCAGAAGATCCTGGACAGAAAGCGCCATAACAGCATCTCGGAGGCCAAGACGAGGGACAAGCATAAGAAGGAGGCGTAAGGGCACCGGGGCCGGGGGCCACCTGGGTACTGGGGAGGCAGGGCGGGTGTCTGGGCCCCGAGCCATCCTGCATTGCTCCTGTGCAGGGAACTGACGGAGATTAACCGTCGGCACATCACTGAGTCAGTCAACTCCATCCGTCGGGTGAGTTGGGCTCCTGGGCCACCCTACCCCACGTCCCTTCCTTCACTCATCAGACACCCTTCTCCGTGCCTGGCCTGGTGCCACGTTGCCCTCAAAGTTCTTCTAGAGCCTTTCTCGAGTGCCCAACAGCTCCAGGGTACCCGCATCATACCCAAAGCCAACTGTCTGCACCAGTGCCCCTGGCTTTGGTGTCCTTGGGCCCGGTCCTTTCACAAACCTGATACATCACCCTGGGAGCCTTCACCCACCTGACTTCCTTTATTTTTCTTTGAGACAGAGTCTCACTTTGTCACCCAGGCTGGAGTGCAGTGGTGCGATCTTGGCTCACTGCAACCTCTGCCTCTTGGGTTCAAGCAATTCTCTTGCCTCAGCCTCCCAAGTAGCTGGGATTACAGGTGTCCGCCACTACGCCTGGCTCATTTTTGTATTTTTAGTAGAGATGGGGTTTCACCATGTTGGCCAGGCTGGTCTGGAACTCCTGACCTCAGGTGATCTGCCCACCTCGGCCTCCCAAAGTGCTGGGATTACAGGTGTGAGCCACTGCGCCTGGCCTCGCCCACCTGACTTCTATACCCAGCCAGAGCCTCGAGGCCCTAGCCCCTCAGGGCCCCTCAGCTGAGCCCTTGCCCACCCCTGTAGCTGGAGGAGGCCCAGAAGCAGCGGCATGACCGTCTTGTGGCTGGGCAGCAGCAGGTCCTGCAACAGCTGGCAGAAGAGGAGCCCAAGGTGAGGCCACGGGCGAACAGGCGGGCAGATGGGGTGCAAGGCAGCCAGGCCTCGCCTGTGATGCCCGTCCTCCTCCCACAGCTGCTGGCCCAGCTGGCCCAGGAGTGTCAGGAGCAGCGGGCGAGGCTCCCCCAGGAGATCCGCAGGAGCCTGCTGGGCGAGACGCCGGAGGGGCTGGGGGATGGGCTTCTGGTGGCCTGTGCCAGCAACGGTCACGCACCTGGGAGCAGCGGGCACCTGTCGGGCGCTGACTCGGAGAGCCAGGAGGAGAACACGCAGCTCTGAACTGGCTGAGCAAGAGGTGGCCACAGGGCCAGGGTGGGCGCTGGGTGGAGGGCAGGAGGCAACGACACTAATGCTTTTTTTTTTTAACTTTTTATCTAGAAATTTTATTTTTTTAAACCTGGGGCAAGTACCTGAGCTAACTCCCTTCATCCTCCTGGGGCTCCTCCTTCCTGCCCTCAGTCTTAGGTTAGGGCCCTGGTCAGGGCTGTGCTCCCCGTGACACCCACACCCTCGAGGTAGCAGTGTCTCCTCCCTTCCCTGGGAGAGCTGCTGGAGCTTCAGGAAGTAGGTGTCACATTTTTTCTCTATTCTTTGGGGATTTTTTTTACATGAATAAAAGTGGATTTCAGGGACCCTGTGTGCAGTGTGATTTGGGGTGAGAGGACTCTGTACGTTTCCTCATCTGTAAAATGGGCTTTGGGCGTTTGGTGGGGTTGAGGGCACGCCTCCAGCCAAGGACTGCTGGGTTGAACCTGAGCCTGCCCTGCCGAGTCTGCTGAGCTTCCCTGTTCCTGTTCCTCCATCCTCACGACTTTCATCTCTCCGAGGCTCTCCCTGTTCTCTCTTCGCTGAGGCTCAGGCCTCTGCTTCAGGAAGCCTTCCCTGCCCCGCTTCCTGTGGCCTGATATGACCCAAACGCCTAGCATCTTCCGCCCGGGCTGCTCTGGGCCCCCGACAGGCAGTTGACTCTATCGGGTGATGGATCAGCCAGGGTGGAGCAGGGCAGCTCAGAACCTGTCCAACACCAGGGGACGGGGGTCTTCAGAGAGAGGTGGGCAGTAGGCCTGCCTGTGACCCTGGGGGAAGGGAAGTGGACAGTCACAGATACACAGGGGCTGGGCCACCCAGCATACCCTCATCCCTGTGAGGGAGATATTATGCCTGTTTTACAGATGAGGAGACTGAGGCCCGGAGCCATCTCTCATGTGCCAGGCCACAGCTAAATCAAGATGTCCTGACCTGGAGGCAGGGCGGGCCTGGACCCTCCGTGGTGGACTGTCTTCAGCCAGCCTGGACCTGTCCTATGCCTCAAGACCAGCGAAAAGTGGCGGAGAGCCCACAGTGCGGGCTCGAGGGCGGGGCTGGGCTCGCAGCAGGCTCGGCTTGGCACCTCTTCAAGGCCTCTCCCAGCTTCCTGGCTCTTCCTAGGCTGCCCGCCTGCATCCCTCCTCCAGGGGAAGGAGGCCTCTTATCTGGGCTTATCTCCTGCCAGTTGAGTATCTTCTTTGCTTTGTTTTTGCTGCAGCCTCAGGCAAACAGATGGGGTGGGGAGGCCAGGGAAATAGGCTCCGGAGTAGGGCCCTCCTCCCTCTGGGTCAGTGCAGTGGCCCCAGACTTCCTCACTTCTGCTGTGGGGCCCTGCCCTATCCCCTAGTTCTGCTCACTCCAGTGTATTCCGTATCCAGGCTCCTCAGCAGCCAACTCCCATCTTCCTGACTCCAGCTGGTGTCCACTGAGGGACACCAGCTAAATTGCTAACTCCTGGGTGTGACATTCCAGCCCCTGGGAAGCCTGGCCTCTACTGCTCCCCTGTCCTTCCATGGGTCCACTCCTCCCTGCGCCGGGAGGGATGACCCTCACCCTCACCTTCAGGTAGCGGCTCTAGCCGCCTCCTCCCTGAAGCCCTCTGACTGCCCTGCCGACTTCGGGCCCTCGGGAGCTTCCGAGAGCAGGGCCGTCGCGCAACGGATCTCTGTGCCCAGCACGAAGCACCGGGCCGGGTTACAGGGGGCGCCAATAAATCTTTCTGGAACGGAGCCCCCGCTCTGTTCGGGTCCCTGCGTGAAGCCTCGGTTTCCAGCGACCGGGCTGCTGCCAGCCTGGCTCCGCCGCTCCCTTCCGCCCCGCGCGGTCTGCCAGGCCCCCGGGCCCCCGGGCCGGCCATACAGCAGCTGACCCAGCTAGGTCAGTCCTATAAGGGCTGACCCAAATAGGAGCGAGTGACCCTCCCTGGGGGGGCCGCGGCGCGGTTTACAAAGCGCGAGATTCGGCGGCCGGCAGCGCTGCGGTCCCAATGCGCGTGCTGGGGACTTGGACCTGGGCCTCACAGCCCTGGCCCCCGAGCCGCCGCGACCCCTTCCGTCTCTGTCGCGGATGTCAGGCAAAGCCTATATCCCTCGTAAGACAGCGGCCTCTTTTGAAAGTATCCGTGAGAGCACTACCCGGCCTGCGGAGCCCCAGTCGACGCACAGAAAAGGCTCGGCGGCACAGACGCGGGCTTTATTAACATTTAGTAGTGAGCGCGGCCCGCGGGACATCGCGGGGACTCGGGTCCGGGTGACGCAACGGTTAAGCCTGGTTCACGACTTGGCGCAGGCACTTGGTGGGTAGCCCGGAGCCGGAGGGCGGGGCCACGAGCCACTTCTGGCGGCTATGGGCGGAAAACCCAAAACTTCCGATGGGACCAAGCCTTCTGCGGCTTCACATGCACCGGAAGGGAATCTGGGTCAGCCCTCCCACCGAAAGAGGCAGCACGGATCCTCTTTTGCATAAGGCCTGAGGGAAGCACTTCCGCCCATATCCAAGATGGCCGACCAGGACAGTGAGAGCGGGTGGAGTTTCGGGGCGTGGAGCGAAGGTCACTGGGAGGGGGCGGAGCTTCCCCTGCCCAAGTTCCGATCCCACCAGGACTGGAAGACTCGCGTCCAGCTGGAGCTTTGCCGCATCTGCGTCGCTGTGCCCGCGCTCTTCGGGCGAGGAAGTCCCTTCCGGGTTGTGGGAGAAAAGGGTTACATGAGTTAGATTACCATGGCAGCTGGTGCCAGGCTCTCCACTTCCGTGAGCCTTCCTCTAAGTGAGATCGGGGGGAGATAATGAAGGCCACAACTCCCAGGAGGCTCCACGCCGGGTGGTCAGGGACGCTCGGGAGGACGCATGGGCCCCCAGGAATGGGAACTGGTTAGATCCCAGGAACTCCGTGCCGGGGACGGGAAGAGAGGATGCCTAGGGCCCTAAATGGAAAGGCCAGAGCTGGAGACCTAGCACCCAGAAGATGGGACCGCAATTCAAGAATCAAAAGGCCGGGAGTGGTGGTGAGCGCCTGTAATCCCAGCACTTTGGGAGGTTGAGGCGGGAGGATCCTTTGAGGCCAGGAGTTTCAGGATGCGATGAGGCGTCATCGCACCACTGCACTCCAGCCTGGGCGACAGAGCGCACAGGTGCCAGCAAGGAGCACAAATACCAGCATGCCTAGTCTTCCAAGAATTCGGGGAATCCAAGAGCTTTGGCCTGGAGTGGGAGCTAGACTACACGTCCCAGCATGCCCTGTGACACACAACCCCCACATCCAACCACCAGGAGGGGGAAATTCTGGGACTTGGAAGGGAAGAGCTGGCGGGGCGGGGGGTTAGGGGGAGGTCTTGTGACTACAAATCCCATAATGCTATGGAGCTAGGAAGGGGCAGGACGGCGTTGGGGAGGGATCGTGGGACATCAGATCCGGACGTGCCTTGGGACAAGGAAGGGACAGACCGGCGCGGGGCGGCCTGGGACTGCAGGTCCTGGCACGCGGGGGACCGGCGCTCACCTTAAAGGAGTCCACAAACTCGTCACTCATCCTCCGGAGCTCGCGGCCATAACGCTGTGCTGCCCAGAGGTTGGGGGGCGCGGAGCGCGAGCGGCCCCGAAAGGGGCTGGGCTCCTCCTCCATCCCTTCGTCCTCCTCCGTCCCCGCGGGGTAGGAGCTGTGGCGACTCCGGGTCTCCACAGCCCCAGCGCCTGGAGAGGGTCAGTGGGTAGGGGGCGACGTTAATCTCAGCTCCTCTAAGTCCCTGGCCCTGCCTGAATCCTCCCCATCAGCTCTGCAGGCCCACTCGTAGGTCTTCCAGGGGCGCATCACAGTCCACCTCTCGGAGCCCCAGTCCCTTCCAGGGAAGCTCTGGGGCCTTTGTTGAAGATTCAGGTTAACTTTTCATTAATCCCACGAATCCTTACTGAGTGCCAATAATGGGTGAGGCCTTGTGCCCGGCACAAAATAAGGGCATAAGAAATACTAGTTACATCACGAGGTCAGGGGATCGAGACCATCTGGCCAACATGGTGAAACCCCATCTCTACTCAAAACACAAAAATTAGCTGGGCATAGTGGCGCACGCCTGTAGTCCCAGCTACTTGGGAGGCTGAGGCAGGAGAATCGCTTGAGCCCGGGAGGCAGAGGTTGCAGTGAGCTGAGATCGTGCCACTGCACTCCAGACTGGGTGACAGAGTAAGAATCCGTCTCAGAAGAAAAAAAAAAAAAAAAAGAAAGGCATATTATTAGTGCAAAACCTTCATGGGGCTTCGTGGCAAGCCCTGGGTTGGTAGCTATTTCATAGCGTCTATTCTACATCAGCGGAAGCCAATCCCTTGGACAGGAAAGTGTCCTGCCACAGCTGGCAGGATTGAACGCTGCCTCTGCAAGGGACCAGCCCCTGGAGAACAAGAACCTGTCCGCTACATGTCTGCATCCCCCCCAGAGCCTTCTTTGGAGACAGTGTGTGGAACTGTTGACGTTTTTAGGTACCATTGATGGTGCACTTATGTGTAGGCCAAGACATTCCCTCATTATCCTCCTAACCACCCTGGGAGGTGAGTACTAAACATGCTTAGGTGAGAAGACAGAAGCTTAGAGAGTTAAGACTTGCCCAGTTTCTGTGAAGCTGTGGAGGCCTGAGGCTGGAAGGTTCCAAAGGCTTGGTGGAATCCAGAGTCCAGTGATTATCAGTGGAGCTCTGTGTCTCTCCCCTTGTCTATTCAGCCTTTGACTCTCTGAGCCTGTGTCCTCACCTTTATGAGGGGATAATCCTAGCCCTGACTCCCAGTGATTGTGTAAAGGTCACATAAAATAAAAAAATGTGAAAGTGCTTTGTGGCTGGGTGTGATTCCTCACACCTGTAATCCCAGCACTTTGGGAGGCTGAGGCAGGCAGATTGCTTGAGTTCAGAAGTTTGAGGCCAGCCTAGGCAACATCGCAAAACCCCATCTCTACTAATTTAAAAAAATTATAGGCCGGGTGCGGTGGCTCACGCCTGTAATCCCAGCACTTTGGGAGGTCGTGGCGGGCGGATCACAAGGTCAGATCAAAACCACCCTGGCTAACATGGTGAAACCCCGTTCTCTACTAAAAATAAAAAAACAAAACAAAAAATTAGCGACGCATAGCTGCGTGGGTGCCGTAGTCCCAGCCTATGCGCGACAGGCCTGAGGCAGGAGAATGGCGTGAACCTATGAGGTGGGAGCTGCAATGACGGAGATCACCTCCGCGCCGCCGCCACCTGCACATGCAGCCTGGAGCGACAGCGAGCCGAGACTGCTGTCTCAAAATAAATAATAAATAAATAAATAAACAAATAAATATGATAACAAAAAGAAGGTCCAGCCTGGGCCGACAGAGAGCGAGACTCTGTCTCAAAATAAATAAATAAATAAATCAAAATAAAGAAGGCCAGATGGGCGTGCTCATGCAGTAATCTGAGCACTTTGGGAGGAAGCCAAGGACAGGTGGTATCAACACAAAGGTCAGGAGTTCGAGACCATCCTGGCCTCAAACTGGTGAAATCCTGTCTCTACTAAAAATACAAAAATTAGGTGTGGTGGTTCACGCCTGTAGTCCCAGCTCCACAGGAGGCTGAAGCAGGAGAATCGCTTGAACCCAGCAGGTGGAGGTTGCAGTGAGCCGAGATTGTGCCACTGCACTCCAGCCTGGGCGGCAAAGCGAGACTCTGTCTCTAATAATAATAATAATAATAATAATAATAATAACAACAAAAGAAAAAAGAAAGTGCTTTGTAGGCCGCAAATACACTATGGGTTATTATTCAGAGGCCCGCCTACTGTTTGAACTGTGTTTGAACTGTGCTCCATGCCATCTCCCGACTGCTGCCAACTCCACTCTTCTACCCAGACTGATAAAGACTTGGAACCACGCCCTGGAGCAAACACTCAGAGCACAGTGATAGAGTGAGAAGCAGGTGGGGGGCTGGGCGCAGCAGCTCACGCCTGTAATCCCAACACTTTGGGAGACCGAGGTGGGGGGATCACGAGGTCAGGAGTTCAAGACCAGCCTGACCAAGATGGTAAACCCCATCTCTACTAAAGATACAAAAAAATTAGCCAGGCGGGGTGGCAGGTGCCTGTAATCCCAGCTACTCGGGAGGCTGAGGCAGGAGAATCGCTTGAATCTGGGCAGCAGAGGTTACAGTGAGCCGAGATCACGCCACTGCACCCGTCTCAAAAAAAAAAAAAAAAATAGAGGCAGGTAGGGAACATACTTGGTGTTTATGGAAAAGTATGTCTGTCAGGGAGGCTCTTTGGAGATGGTAAATTACAGGCCAGGAACTGAAAGTGGGGGATAACCATCAGAATGTCTCTTCTCCCCTCAGAGGACCTGAGGCAGGGCCTGTGGGCCAGTGCAGGGCCTCCAGGGGTCCCAGCTAGGACACATAAATGAGACACATGACTAAGAAAGCAGGTAGGCGGCTGGTCGC